TAAGTGATACCTTCTTAATGTACGACAATGACACTATTTTGCCACAACATACTTAAATACACCATCTTTCCTCCCTGGATTTGGAATCACAGTCACAAAGATCCCTTCAGCAACGGAAGGAATCCAATTAGGACGTTATATAAAATGTGTAGCTGCAACAACCAGGGAGCTTCAGTGTTAAATCCTCACACAGCCATTACATGTATTATGTGTAAAGACTCTGTCCCAGATGACGCCAGAAGAACACGTATGTAATATTCATTGACATGTTACATATTTATATCTGTCAGAAATGTGCTGCAGAGACTTGACGGCCTGTTTGCGCTGATGCTGCTGCTGATGTGCTGTGTGTGTGTGTGTGTGTGTGTGTGTGTGTGTGTGTGTGTGAGCGAGTGTGTGTGCTAAAGACTCACATTGAAACTTTCTCATTCCACTATGAAAAGTCAGTAAGTCCCAACACGACACCAGCAAACAAGGCAGCTGGCGTGCGTGTGCGCTCGCTCTCATCCACACACAAATGCCACTTTTACAGAAATGACATAGACCTTCAGATGGGGTTCCTTCTGTTACAGCCAAACCTGATGGAATGTGGTTATAAACCATGTATTTACCATGTAATTACCATTTAGACCAGATGACGCCTCCGTGTGAAAAGTCAGCGGATCACCGCAGTGGTTATTACTCATTACTTCAGTAACTAGCTCCGGTTTTGGTGTTGCCGGGGAAATAAGGCCTTTATTATTATGCAATGGCACTAGCTGTTCATCCTTCAAAGGCAACGCAGGACATCGGCAAATAAGTTCCATGCAGCTGTGGTGTATCTTACACTCAGAGTCCACAAGATTGGGTCGTGGTTTGAGAGCACAGCAACCGCCGGTAGGATCGCGGTCGTACTCTGTGGCTTTTATTTTGACGGTTGAAACAGTTTGAAATCAACATACTGGAGCGGTTCACGTCAGTGTTACACGAAGGGAACGTTGGGGAATCAGCTTTCCAAACTGGACTCGACTGGACCTGACTGGTCTCGGCGCCCCTCAAATGTCATTGCCATAAATACACGCGGAGACACAGAAGAAGCATATTCACGCTATACGGGGGTTTATTGTTAGACCACCAAGTGTAGCAGTCTTCATTGAGCAACCCGGCGTGGGGAGCTCCATGTATGAGCGGAAAGGGGAACTGAGTCATTTGCACATCAATGTGTACAGCTACGGACAAGTTTAATCCCTCCGCGGCACATTTTCGTCTGGCCGAGCACGGAGCGCGAACAGCTCAAGATGTTCTGGGGGAGCTGTGAGCGGGAGAAAGAATTATGAAAGAAAATCCAGAGCAGATTTGCTCGGAAGACTTCAGAATGTATTAAGTAAATGTAGGAGAGATAAGCTGTTTCAAGAATAGGAAAAAATATATATTTCACGGCGTGTAAAAAAAGGCTCCCCGAGGCATTCAGCGTGCATAGAGTCAAGGCCAAAGCCACAGCGCACGGAGCAACAGTCCAGCGGTTACAGCGCCGGGACGGCTTCCTGGTTCAGAGAGAGAGAGAGCATCATGGAAAGTTTGTGGTTTTTCTCAGATGAGTCTCTTCCTGGTGACCGAGGATCAAAGGGGGGAGGAGCTTCTGCAGTTTCTCCGACTTGTTTTTCCAAAAAGGTGATGATTAAACCCGCCGGAGGGCGGGGGGCCGCGCCTACACACACTCGTCACAGCGCGGTCACGTCACTGCCGTCTGAGACCTACGTTTCCATTCAGCGTGCCGCTTTGCATTCCTGGAGTCACGGTGCTCAAGCGCCTTCTCTCTCCGTGAGAAAAAGTGAAAGGAAGAAAACAAAAGTTAAAGAGTTCTACTCGCGTTGTAAAATCTTAAATATGTACAGAGCAGATTAGTGAAGGAACACTTATATAAAGTGTGTCATAAACGGTTGTGCCCGAGGACCCTGATAGGAATCTGTGAATGTTTTCCCCGTCTCTTGTACGTGCTCACGGGTGCACTGGGAACGTCGGGGGCCCGTTGTTGTTTCGTCTCCCGTCTGGCTGAATACGGCCTCTGTTGGTTTTTATGTGGGACCTGCAGATGTTGTGAGTCTCTGCTGGTGTGCGCGCAGCCTCGCGTCCGCTCCCCCCCTCCGTGCGCGTACGTGCGCGTGTCCACCATCCTGTTTGGGGGGAAAAGCTCTGCCCACGCCGGGCCGCAGCCAAGGTCTCGTCCCTTCGTTCCCGACCTGACATTCCTTCCTCCACTTTCAGCTCACGTGCGGTTTGAAGATAAAAGCCTCCATTCATTAGTCTGACCGAGGGCCCGACGTTAGCGGCAGGATGTCCCGCCCTCGTCTGGCAGCGGCCGGGGGCCGTGTTTTGTCCGTCACGTTGAAAACCACCAGTGGCGCAGGACGCTTTACTGCCGTCGGTGTGTTTCTGTTATTCCATGCAGTATTTCCCCGTGCTTTCATTGCATTACAAACACTGGGAAGGTTTGGGGGTTTTTCCAGCTTTAATTGCTCTTCACAAGCGACTACCTTTGTTGTGGTGGTACTTTCTTTCTCTTTCTTTTTTATCCTATCAGGCTTTTATCTCCCTCGCCAAGCTGCCAAAACTCCCCCACATTGCCTTACACTGTGTAAGTAATGAGGCTCATGCATGTTTTGTTCTGTGGGAGGGGGGGGGGGGTTCCTGCAGGGGTAACGGCGACAGGAGCTAACTTCCTTCAGATACGGCTGCTGTGGTTTCAGACAATCGTGGTCTATTTAGAGGGTCATTTCACAATAAATGTGTTGATGGGGGTTTCTGTCGAGCGCGCGGGATGAAAACGAGGTGTTTCCAGCAGGCGAGGACACGGTCCGACACAAACAATCTTCTGTTGTGTCGACAAATTTCTGAGGAATCAGGTCTGGGAATTTTATTTTAATTTTTACGACAACACGGCTATATTCATGGAGCAGGTATGTGGACTATGCTCAAGGAATGGTTGTGTGGCTGTTCACTTTTTTTTATGTTGTTGTTATTTTATTTTTTTCTAATTCGGGGATGGAACATTGCAAAAGATAATTATGAAACCATCGGTCTGGAAAATAAGTCGAGGGTGGGTGATACCTCGCCACGTGCTCGAAGACGGTTCCCTCCGCCGCTGTGAATGTAACAAGAGGAATGTGGGAGCCGTGTGAAAAGTCGCAGCTTACACGCAAACATTCATCTCCACAAATCGGTACCATTTGTAGAAGATGAAACTTTCCACCTGCGTCAAACCCCCACGTGTGCAAAGGGAATTCAAAAAAGGGGGTGTTTTTTTTTGTTTACAGCAGTAAAACAGACATTTAGACTCCTTCTGTAACAATTTTCTGCCAAAATGTCCACCGTCTTCAGAAAGTAGCGAGTCAGTGAGACTCTGAATGGGGTGTTAAAACAAAGACAGTCGAGTGGTGAAATAAGGGACAAGAGTGTTTGCATTCACACAAACACACACACACACACGTGTGTATATTTGTGCGTTTTTCGTCCACCTTTCCGGTCCGTGATTGAGCTAATCAGCGCGGTTTGCGTGGTGATTGGAGTGGCTCGTCCTCACCGCGTCTGCAGCAAACAAACCCGGAGCGCAGTGTACTTTTCCACTGATTTTAATGAGCAGGTTAGGAAATGACCTCTGGAGCAGATGCCGCCGCTTCGGCCCACGGTGCTGGTTGGTCGCCTCCCCTGCTGGGTTTTTTTTTTTTGGACGGGATCACGCACTCCCTCGAGTTGGCGGAGCCTCGTCCTGTTGCACGTGTGGATGAACACGCAACACCCACTGAGGAAGAAAGCGGGAACAAAGCAGTCGATGGTGAAATGAGCGGAGATCTGTCTCGCTTTCTCTTCCTGTCTCACAGAGACACACACACACACACACACACACACACACACACACACACACACACACACACCTGTTCTCCAACTGGCCTGACCTGATAATGAGCAGCAATTATGTAAAACAAACAAAAACTGTCTCACAAACAGACAATCAACCCGTTGGGACCAACATTTTGCAAGTAATAGTTGATACAGGACAAGGTAAGACTTCTTGGACACGACTTCATGAACTAAACTCACATTACAAAACAAAAGGAGACACAAACAAAAAGGCCGAAAAGGAGAAGTCAAGACTACTGAAGCACGACCCGACGGGAACAGGGCCGTGTGTTTCTTTGTGCGTCGGGTATTTTGCCTTCATTAGAAGAAGCAGAGAGCTGAAATAAAGAGGGGGGGAGAAACGCGGGGGAGAAACACGGGGGATGGCGTGAAACAAAGGCAGCTGGTCGGCGTGTAAAACTCCGAAAGACCACCATGGACGACTTGTTGGAACGTGCTTCTTCATAGAGAACGGAGACGTGGAAGCTTTCCCTGTGGGTGGTATGTAAACAACTCAAAACCCAGTCCTTAAAACACAGGAAATAATACTACAAGGGTGATAGATGGAGGAGAACCTTACAATCTGGGCCAGATTCGTAGCTCGGAGGGGCACTGAATCCAAATGCTGTGACTTCACCCCCTGGGGTAAAGTTAGCAGATCCTCACCAAATCAACCATTAGAACCAAAGCACAAACCGAGACGTCGCTAAACAGTTTCTTTCACGGAGCGAAACGTAGAACTGAAACGCAAATGACTTGAACTCGCTTCCTTGCGACTCCAACTTCTTCCATTTTTTTCTTTGTCGACGTTTGCTTTTGTTTCCACTCCTGCCCCTCTCCCCTGCCTCGCGTATTTCCGACAGCCAGTGAACGCAGCGCGGCTTCACGCTGCGTGCCTCTGTTTATTTTCAGAGCGGTGACGCGCACGCTGCTGCCCCCCCCCACCCCCCTCCCCCCCACCCCCCTCCCCCCCCTCTATATGTGGCTCGTCAGACGGTGGCAGGGGCCGGCGATTGGTGAGCTGTTGTTGCTGTAGCAGCTTGTGACGCGGGGGGGGGAGGAGGAAGAGGAGGAGAAGAAGAAGAAGGAGGAGGGAGCACTATAAAAAGCCGCTCCAGCGCTCTCGGAGCTTCACTCTGGTGGAGGAAAGCGAGCGCGGCGGGTTGCCTGACGTGCCACCAAGTGACCAACCGCCCCCCCCCACCAGCACCACCACCTCAACACCCCCACTCCTGTATTTACCAACAACAGGCGCAACCCCGAACCGTCCCCACTTACACCCCCACCGCCCCCCCCCCCCCAGCGCACGGACTCTCTCTCAAAGAGAACTCCCCTCCACCTCGACTAATAAATGCCAAGAGGAAAAACGAAAAAGCCCGACGACCAGGATCGCTGCGCAGAGGAAGTGGAGAGGAACGGTCGGACGAACACGTAGAGACGACAAGACGACGCACGGATCGCCGCCGTTGCCCGTTTCTCAATGCATACCCTTTGTGCCCGAGGAACGATGAAGCCGGAGATCACCGCCGCCGTCGGATTTCTGTCGAGATTTCTGCGCGTAAAAGGACACGTAAACGACCGACAGGTCCAGACGTTCAACCAAAGCTTACAGGACATTCTGTCAGGTAAGAGAACCGGGGGGAGGAACGACCACCTGGGTTTAGTTTGGGTTTGTTTGTTGCGTAAAATGGTTAGATTCGTCTTTTAATCGGGCCGAGGAGGGTTCAGAAGAAGCGTTTCTTTGTTCTCGGGAGTATCGCTGTCAGTACCGCCGCGCACCGCTGTGAGGGGGGGGGCGGTAAACACGACGAGGGATCTTAATCTAACCATTTGGTCGACGGTTACAATGGTGTAATAAGATAATATACTCTGAAAAGATACAGAATGAAGCCGTTGGATGCGTTACTTTGTTTGGGAGGAAAAAGAGAGGGGGGGTGGGGGGGTTGAGGGGGGCTGAAACGAGGAAGCGCGTCTCTGTCGATGAAGCGATCCGAGCCAAACAGCCCCGAGTGACGCGGCTCCATTACGTAATGCGTCGGACGAAACTGGCACAACACGTTCGTTTTTACTTTATAAACGCCACTCTTACGTGTAGATTGTGCGCGAATTACCTTTTTTTTTTTTTTTTTTTTTAGTTTTGTTTCTGGCTTTTTAATTATTATTTTTGACCATTTCACCAGGTCTCTCTCTTTCCAGTGATTTCAAATCCATTTTTCCTGCATTTCTTTAGTAGTAAAAATCCCCCCTAAGCCCCCCAGCGAACAGTGTTGCTCGCGCATTGTCTCAATTTCCGTTCCACAACACATTCCATCTCCGTCCACTAAGCAGACGACCTACATTTCCTTACTTCTATAAAAACACGTCTCACTTTACAAAAACCGTGTGATCATCGTTCGAGGTGAAAAAAAGTGTATTTTTATATTATTTCCATAATAAAAATATGTAGTTGCCAAAAAAGACCGACTGCAATTCATCTTAGCTGGCCGTACTTTTGCCTGTGTAAAATTTTCATAAACAATTTATTAATTTATTTATTTTCGTCCTCTCTCTAAAACCCAGAGCTGTTCAACGCGCGTGTTTGTAAACAAGACAAAAGTTGACGTGTATGCAGTGGGCCGGTGGTCTGTATGTGGGGGAGGGGATGTTTTGTGGTGGGCGCCTATAGGCGGATGTTAAAGGCGCAGGCAATGTGATCCGTGAGGAAACGGAGGGGAAATCCACAGAAAAAACATTTAGACCTGCGATGCATTCACGGCTCGTAAACACAAAGTACATCAACCGTCTGTCGTCTGCCAGACGTGGATTCAAAGTACTTTGAAACGCCAATCAATCCGAAATGTCTTTTTTTTTTTTTTTTGTGCGCGCGGCAGAAAGAAAATTGAGCATGTGGTAGTACCGAGAGAGCTTGTGTTCCTAAACTAGGCCAGCCAGAGCCCCTTTGTGCCTGGAAACGGCACAATCGCTCACTATTGTGTCTGCATGCCGCACAGCCAGCGCAGCGCAGCTCCCCTTGTTTGTGATTTGAGAGACGGGAAGTGGACAAATTAGGCCAAGCGATTTGAAATCTCTGCAGTTGTGTAACAGTCAGGCCGAGCCTTTCTTCCTTTTTTTTATGTGTTTTTTATCAGCGGCAGCTGGATTTGGTGTCTGTCCAGAAAATGGATTTGATACTCAGCCAGAGCCAACGGGGATTTTCCATATGTTATCCTAGTGGTCAAGGTCCAATGTTGTTAAACGCTGTGAGGGCCGGTACCTCCCATTAGCTCAGGAGCCCACTGTGATTAAACACAGAGGGGGTGGTGTTGTTGCATACAGGTGGGCTCTGCCACCACCCTACCCCGGGGCTGAATGCAGGCCAGATTTTCTTCAGCCACAGTAAAGTTGGGTTCAATGTAGATTCATCTTGTTAGGGCAAAAGAGAGGGGGTGGCTCTTTTGTGATGTTAGAAAGTCCTTTTTTTTTCTTTTAACTCCAAAAGTAAACTTTTGGCAAGGAAAGGGTGAGTTATTGTTTGACTTCCTCAGACACCCCATCGGTGTAATTCCCCCAGCATCGTCTCAACCGCGGCGGCGCTAGTTTCACTGCACTCTGTAAGGAAAAATAAGGTTCTTTCCCTTTAAGAGGCGGAGCCTGTGTTTGGTGTCTCTGTTCAGCCAGTCGGGGGAAGGCCCGTCCCACTGACTAATACCGGGGGAGGGATTGTGCAATTCAATGGCCTTCTTTTTGTCACGTAGGCCAGGGTGCCGCCGGCTGCCTGTTAATGCCTGCTTATCAGGACGCGAACAGGTGGTGCTTTCTGCTCTTTCTTCATCTCCTGAACACAACTGCACCCTGTAGATTTTTTGTTTTTTGTGACCCAAGCACAAGGATGCACTGCAACATGTGTACGTTTTACATATTTGTAACATTCAATGTATTATAGTAATTATTTCTATCTAAATGGGTAGCATTTACAATTAGTTTTTTATTTTATTTTTTGACGTGTCTGAACACCACCTAGTTTTTACAACGAAATATCCTCTTGGAAAAATAGCAATGCGTGAGATTAGGATCTACTCATTTTAACCATTGAGACCAACTCTTGTTTGACATTTCAACCCAAACATTCACAGTCATGTTCACAACACTAATGTTTTCTTTGGGATTGAATCTTTTGGATAAATACCAATTCAATTCCTAATGTTTTATTTGGTAGGGAGAGTGCACATAAATAAAAGTAAATATCTGGGCTACAAATGGTTGATGTGATTTTATATGACAACGTTTTTATATTTATTTTCATTATGTTCCCGACAGTTGTTACAGCTGTTGTATGTTTGTTAATTTGACCCACCAGTCTGTACCTTCTGTTTCAACCTTCTTTTTCTGGATATCTTGCTTCACATTTAGGATCGATCACTCAGCGCTTAACTGTCTCTCCGTCCTCTTTGTCTCTGCAGAGCAATACAAGCACCACTGGTTCCCAGACAGGCCCTGCAAGGGTTCCGGCTACAGATGCATCCGCATCAACCACAAGATGGACCCGCTGGTGGGGCAGGCGGGCCAGCGCATCGGCCTGACCATCCAGCAACTCTACCTGCTGCTGCCCAGTGAGCTCACCCTCTGGGTGGACCCCTTCGAGGTGTCCTACCGCATCGGCGAGGACGGCTCCATCTGCGTCCTCTACGAGTCCGCGCCCTGCCCCGTAGGAATGCCGACGATGGCCACCATCGGGTCCCCCTCAGGCCACGGCATGCTGGGGAGCCCCATGGTGGACAGCCGCCACAGCTGCAAGGAGGAACTGATGGTGATGGGCCGAACCAGTCCCTCCAAAAACTACAACATGATGACTGTGTCCAGTTAAAGGGTCACCGCCGGCAAACTTTTTGTTTGTCTCCGGCTGGTCGGATCGTACGATCAGATCAGGGTGAGCCTTTTTTTTTGAAGCTAAGAATATGAAATGAAATAGTGAAAGAAGAAATGAGAAAGAAGAAGAAGAAAAAAAAAACAGGATGTGGCCTATCGTCCAGGTGATGGAAACCTTGTAGGTTTGCTCTTTTTAAACCTCCCCCTCCCACCCCATTATCATTTGTTTTGTGTCATTGGATCAAACTGGGCACTTATTTTAGGAGTGGCTTTGTGGAAATGGAAATGTTTGGGCAGCTAAACGACCAACCTGGAACCCCCCTTGCCCCCCCCCATCCCCCTCAACCGTAAACAACATGGCGATCAGCTCCGTCCATGAAGGGGCCGTAATCGCCTTTTCACTCTTACTTGTGGTTGCTATGGGTACACGTTCAACCCACCAACACAAAAAAAACAAACCAACCAAACCAAAACCAAATCCCGATTTATCAGGAATAATTCCTTCAATTTACACAATTCTGAGCTTTTTCAACTTTCTGTTTTGATGGTTTGGACTGAAGCCTTTTCTCAGTACAAGCTAAAGGTAAAGAAACACCCAATGAGAGCATCTCTATTTTCTATAAGATCCCCCTTTTGGACCACAGGGAATTTGTTTCCTTTATCTTGAAGCTGGAAAAAGGCTTTCAGTCTTAACCCCCCCCACCGCACGCTCCCCAACATTATCATTAAAAAAGAAGCTCAGAAAAACCGTGGGAAACCCACGACCCGGTTGCGTGTCCGGGAGGGCAGGGGATCCGTGTCAATGAATGTTGTTTTAAAATCACAATCAAGTTCCTTTTTGTTCTCAATATCGAGCCCCTTTTCCTCCAACCACTTTGTCGCCTCCCCCACAATTCAAAAGTGTAGCAGAGCGCGGTGGGAAGTATTTTACCCAAATCTGGTGACGTTACCGATTTCAGAATTGACGTTGAATGCACTTTGACGTGAGATTGTGTGGGATGTGTCCTTTTTTTGTAGAGAAAAAAATCGCCTGCATTCCATCCATTCGAATGTCATCTTTTCACGCCGTTTTTTCTGCCCTCCCCATTACTCGCCGTTTGTTCATACTGTAGCCCACACGTTGTGTATTAAATCGGAAGTGTGCAACTGTGGATTTAAAAAAAGCTTTTTTTTTTATTTTACTACACTGTATATGTGAACATTTCCGAGCTCTTTATGTGGAGACAGTTTTAGTCGGCATGTCCCCCCCCCCCCATCTCACCCCGGGCACAAAGATGGTGGTCTGTGTTGCGGATAGAAGGACAAAATAAAGTTAGTCTGGACCAGGTGATTACCGTGTGAGACTTTGGCCAAACGGAGGTCTGGAAGTGTAAGAAATGAATTTGAACTTCAAATAAAAACACCAGGCTTTGTCAGCCTTGTAATTTTGAATCCACGTTAACATTTATTTCCATAGTCTTATAAAAAGGGGATCCTCGTGTGTGCATTGGAGGTGCGCTGCCTTACAAAGGCCTCGGGGTCCTGATTTATGAGCCATTTGTGATTTTTAAATTTTTTATCAGGCATATGTGAGCCAGCCTGGATCATGTGCCGCTCGGGCCCTCGTCAAATACCAACCCCCCCCCCCTCAGAGGGGCTCCAAAGGCACATAACACCCCCCCCCCGTTCAAACCCCCTTTTCGGCAAAAAAAAAGGCCGCCCGCCATGCGCCTAGCGGCCCCCTTTTGAACCCGGTTAGCTTTTATGTAACCCATTTGGCTTTCCATTACTTTGGGAGGGGAGGGGGGGGGTTTTTTTGAAAGAAAGGGGTTTCGGGGGGGGGGGGGCCAGGCCCGGAGTTTTTTTTTTTTTTTTTTTTTGTTCGGGGCAGCTAAAAATCCCTCCAGCCCCCCCCCCCCCCTTCTTGACTTATCCCCCCCCCCCCCCTCCCCCCACACACACACACACACACACACACACACCACAACCCTCCCTATGCGGTGATGGACAGAAAACAACAGCACATGTGGGGGTGGGGGGGGCGACAGGTGGATCAAAGCTGGAGAATGAGGGCAGCGGGCCGTTCCTTTTCCATGTTCATCTCACTGGATTGCGCTGCACTTGATGGCGGAGTTGGAGTAGCAACTTTGTTTACATGCATATGACCCAACTCACTCCTGGTTGTGGGGCTGACTGGTTACTAGTAGGCTGGAACAGATGACTGGGGGGGGGGGAGGCTTCGGGTGCTTTACCCCGCCGGCCAAATCTGTCACAGCAGGCTGGATCCCCGCTCCTCAGCAGCCCTATGGGTGTTAAAGCTCCCCCTAAGCCTGAGAGGATCATGGGTAATAGAGCTATAGCCTTTGACGCACTGCAACCTAAACCCACCCCCTCCTACCCCAAACCCCACCGCTCCGCCCCACTTCCCCAGCCCTCTGTTGACGCTGCCTTCAGCAGTCTGTGGAAAGCAGCGATTCCATGTTGGTGGGGAGCAGCTGACTGGGATGGGACCCGCCAGGGCTTTCGTTTCCGTGGCGACGCAAGTTTCATTAAAATCCCACTGCTCCGTTAAAGCTTTCACGTCGAGTGACCAGATGTTTTTTTTGTTTTTTTGAGATCGGTTCACATTTTGGACGCGAGATGGTCGTCCCATCTCTCTTTTCTCTAGATGTATTTCGTGGTCACACTGGTAGATTCGATCACTTCACTCCGCCGTTGCCATTTCCTCCGTCGTCCTTTTTTCCTTACGTACTTTTAACAGACCTTTTTTTTTTTTTTTTTTTTTTTTTTTTTTTTTTTAGATTTCTCTTTTTTTTTTATTATGACACCAAAATCCCCTTTCAACACCCCCTCAAATGTACCATCACTGCCGGAAATGGTTTAAGTCCTAAGTAATGTTTGCTTATTTAAATGGCATCCATTCAGCTTGTGCGCACATAGGTTACGTTGTCGTGAGTGCTTTTGAGTAGTCGGAGGTAAAATAGCACATAAAATGCACTAAATATGTCAAGTTGAAGTTGTGTAACATTTTCCTTTGAGACGCGAGGAGTCTCTCCTGGAATGTATTTGCCAAACTCAGGCCTCGGACATTCAATAATTACCCTTCTGGAGAAGTTGTGCATGTTAAGACATGAAAAAGGGAAGGGAACAGCCGTTTCGTTGTTGTCATCGTCAAAATTGATTGAATTGATTTAGTTGAATTATTGCCACTTTCACATTGGAGTTTTTACTTATTGTAGAATGTATCGTAACAGTACGGCATATAGTAGAGTACATAACATTACACATGGGAAGTGCCAATAATTGATGTTTTTAGATTTATTCCTTTTTGTGTTTCATCTTTTAACATGGATAACTCTTTTGCGTAAGTGAAGCCATTTGTGATGGGAGTGTTGGCAAGGACCAAAGGTGTTGGTAAGAAAAAAAATAAATACTAGTTTCCATAATCTGTAAGCGTAGACGTATCCTTTGTTGTTTTTTGGGGGGGGTTTCTTTCTCTTCTTTTCATTTTGTTCCCCTTTTTATTTTCTATTTACGTACAAAACCAGAAAATAGACAAAAAAATCTGAGCTTACCCAAGAAGAAAAGCTGTCTATCTTGTGATCTCATGTCTGTACATCTTTATCGTGTTCAGTTTCTTTTCCTTGGGTATGTTGTGATGAACTGCTGTAAATTTGTACAGTTCATGTAAATTGATTGTGCGGAAGTTGTACAGATTTCTATATTTTGGAAGAAAAGGTTTTTTTCTCTGTAATAAAAGATTTCCTATCTTGGCATCATATTCCCCTTGTGAGCCATTTCATTATTTGCTCTGTGCCTTTTATGACTTTACAATTTTAAAACTAAATTTGTTTCATTAAAAGATGAATTATAAAATAATATTTCACTGGGGTGAGATTAAATAGGACTGAAAACTCACTGATGGGCTGAACGTCGGTAATGTTGACGCGGCGCCATCGTTTCGGAATAACTGGAACGTTTCATAAGCCCCTCATAAAAGGACTGTTGCCCGATCAGCAAATCCAATCGCTTCACGTTCAAATGCACGTGCTGTTTTTCGGACAGTTGGGGCGGAAAAACTCTGTCCCCACAAACGGAACTGCCGGTGCTTCCAGCTGTGAAGCGATGGGACGCGACAGATGATGCCGTTGGGAAGGATTCTCTCTAAATCTCAAAAAAAAAAAAGAAGTGCTAACTGCCATTGCAAAGATATGCACAATAATGCTGCACCCCCCCTCCCCCCGAACCAGCTGACACTGCAAAACCTAGAGTTTGGATTAAGACTGCGATCTTTTCCAACACTTTCACCCCCCCCCCCCCCCCCCCTCCCTCTGGTTGCTTAGCAGCAGACGGAAAAAAGCTAAACATTTGGCTGGTTTTGACACACAGACAAAGGATGGAACGGGAAGAGCTGGTTTAGCAGGAGCCGGGGGAGCGGAGGGACTGGGGGTTGTGTTTTAAATCGGGCCTCAACTCTCCAAACACTGGCAGGCACAGGGCCTCAGACAGCTGGGGAGTGTGGGTATTGTAGTTTTAAATGATTGAAACGTGTCAGCGCGAGACGCCACGTTCCGCCTTTTTCTCGCTGCGCATTCTCTGCGCTGCTTGCTTAAGGTCTTTGTCTCTTCCGGGATCCGCGGACGCAGGTCAAAGGTTCCCACGGTGCGCCTGACTCGTAGGGACCAAATGCGATTTCTCTGAAGGGAAATATTATCTTTTTCTGGGGGGGGGCGAGTGAATAAAGAACCATCCAGCAGTCACACAAAGCATTAAGATATTTGCAACACTCCCCGGACACGGTTTTGCAATAAGTCATTTGGGCAAGATGTTTTGACCAGTTATTCATCACAGTAGCATGAGAAGCAGATTGGATGAGCTCATTTTGACATGAATATTTGATGGCAGTTTGAACACATGAGACTATTTTTTACGTTGATATTCCAATGAATGTATTTGTTAGGGTCAGCTAATTGACTTACACTTCCTTAATGCAGGCTAAATCTTCAATTAAATCATAAAAAAGCACAAATCATTTTTTCTACACTAATAAATGACTCTTACTTTTTGTATTCAAATGAGATTGCAGCTAATGTCACTCAATTGCATTGGAGTTTCAGCTTGGCACTGATGAAATCTCAGTGTAATATTTTCTTCCCTCCCCTCCCACTCACATAGCAACAGAGATCACCCGGCACAAACTGGTTTGACACTGGAAGGTGTGGCTGATTGGCACAGAGAGATAAGAAGAATATAGTGAAAGGAATTTAATATACAGTTGATGACAAAGTCAAGCTACTTTAAATTTGCTGAATGCAGAATGTTACCGTGTGAGAACAAAGCCGCGGTGAGGGACACTGTACAAGGGGGAGGCAGACATCTGGGACCTGCTTCATGTCCAGCAAGATGACAGGTTAGCCCTCCTGCTGAGTGTGTGTGTGTGTGTGTGTGTGTGTGTTTACGCTCGTCTGCTCAAGAGACAAAAGCAATGCTGCTGCTGCTGCAAAAAGCCGCCTCCCAAATGTGCCTCACCTCTCAAA